ATTATGCCATATTTATACATGCACATAACATAAAATGATCAATATCATTCTCTAGTACCTTCCTTTTCCCTCCCTAAACACCTCTCCTGATCCACTTGTGCTTACTCTGAGACATTTGTTTTCAACACAAAGCATTATGAAACATTATAGTCCAGTGCTTTCTAACACATATATGCTTTGTGTAATGAAATGTATTATTCTAGTAGTAGTAGTAGTAAGAGCAGCTCACATCTACTGAAATTTTATTATTTGCCTTTCAGGTATGATTTTATATTTTCCTAAATTAGGAAAATATGAAATGGTAAAATCAGATGGCAAAACTGAGACAGAGAAATTAAAATCGTATCCAAAGTAATATATTAAGTAAATCTTTTTTTTTTTTTTCCTGTTTGTACTAGGGATAGAGTCCACAGGCACTTTACCATTAAGCTATATCCCTAGCTCTTTTTAAAAATTTTTTTGAGGCAAGATCTCCCTAAGTTGCAGTGGCTGACCTTGAACTTGGAATCCTTCTGCCTCCACCTCCCAAAATGCTGGAATTAAAGCCATGTGCTACCATGCCCAGCTATACAGCTAGTAAACTGCTAATACATGACTGAAATCAAGGCAATTCAGCTTCTAGGTTCTTGTTATTATTTACTCAAAAGTAAATACTTGACTCAAAAGTATAGCATGGTCAGCTTCCACGTGAATAAACATGCATCAAGAGCATTGTCTCACCAGGCACAGTAGGACATGCCTATAATCCCAGCTCCTGGGGAGGCTGAGGCAGGAGGATTGAAAATTTGAGGTCTGCCTCAGTAATTTAGCAAAACCCTTTTTCAAAAAACAAATTAAAAGGGCTGGAGATGTAGCTTATTGGTGGAGTTCACCTGAGTTTAATCCACAGAACCACAAACAAACAAACAGAAAAACAGAGAGGGGAGGGTGGGGGGGCATTGTCTCTCAATGGCAACACAGGATCCCTAAGGGTATAACAATTTATAAAACAGTCTTTATTTTAGGTATATAATACCATACCTGGCTCAAATTCTCAATTTCAGAAATTTGACCTGCAACCTCAAACTTTAGGTTGTTCACAGTTTTTTAGTGATCCAAATGTTACTTTGATAAATATCATCTATATACAGTGTTGCATTCTTTTTTATTTTCTTAAATTCCTATAAGATTCTTGAGTCACTGTTTTTGAAAACTTTAGACAAATTTTGGAATTGCCTTTCAGAAGAATGTAAATTTCTTCAACTGTCTAAATCTCTGATACTAGGACAATTGTATTTCATTGTTTCATAAGGTTAAATTCTTTTTCTCCTCTTAGTTATTAGATAGTTATATTTCTTTATGTAAATTATCTGTTCATTTTCTTTACCCTACTTATTTGTGAAGGTATATTCATTTTTATTAAGGACACACACTCATTATATATTATGGTCATGAATTTTTTATCACACATAATGCAAATATTTACCAACAGAAGTTTTACATACAGATAAATTACCTATTTATATGTAAAAGTCCAAAGAATATTCTCTAATAAAAAGGGACTCAAGAAATATAATTCAGTCTTTGTAAAAGCAATCAAAGCTGTCTCTCAGTCAAGTGAAAAATGGAGCAAAATTAAGTCACAGTAGAGAAATCAGTGTCAATAAGGGATGATTTTTGAAATTAACTCTTGGCAGTCTTTGGTTGCACCTCAAGAAATGCTTTATTTTATGTGAACCAAAACGATTCCTGCTTTTCATCTATATAAGTATGTAATGTTATTGAGAAATTTTTTCGTTAAATGTGATGTTGTGAGAAAGCAAATTCTTGATTTCTTTCTTTCTTTTTTTTTTCTTTTCTCTTTCTTTCTTTCTTTCCTTTTTGGAGTTACTGAGGATTGAACCCAAGGTACTCTACCACTGAGCTCCATCCCCAGTCCTTAATTTTTTATTTTGAGACAAGGTTTTACTAAGTTGCTGAGGCTGGCCTTGAACTTGGGATCCTATTGACTTAGCCTCCCAAGTTCCTTGGATTTTAGGCATGCAACACCCTGCCTGGCTCAAATTCTCAATTTCAGAAATTTGACCTATGTTTCACTCTTAACTAAAAGACAGGTTTTTAAAACCAATGTAATTATGGAACATGAAACGGCCAAAGGAGAGAGAAAAACTTTCCAATGTTTTTCAATGGCCATCAAAGAGAAAATAAAATCTCTAGAAATTAATTCAAAAAAGTCCTTTATAATTTAAAGACATTTCATTTATGAGTCTAACGCATCAAAAAAGTCTAGAACTTGATGTGATTTTAAATAACTTGATTTGAAAGGGAATTTATTGTAAGAAAATTATATTTAAGTAGAGACAAAGACCTTCCCCCCCCTTTTTTTTTTTGGCTCAGAAGGAGATGAGAAATGCCATTTCAGGGACAAGATTACCAGCACAGGGGAACCCTTTGGCAGGAGGATAAATGGCTTTGGCAGAAGGCCGCCCTCCCAAAGAAAAAGACTTCAGCTTATTCTAAACCAGGGTGTGGTGATGCATTCCAGGCACAAGCGATACCCCTGCTAGAGAGGTGGGCCAGGCAGGTGTTGCTTGGAAATACAAGCAGAATTTCAAAATTCTCTCTCCTTTGTGGTGGAAACATAAACTTCTGGAAGTTTGCAGAGCTGCCTCATTAGAAACGGTGAGTTTTGAGATCCACCCCTTGCCCAGTTCTCTAGGGAGGATGAGTTACTTTTCCTAGGAAGTAATTATGTTAGTAAAATATTACTAAGGCTTACAATGTTTTCCTTAGCCTCCATTACAAAATAAGTTATTAATAATATTAATAATTAATAAACACATTAAATGTAAATACTATAAACCCAGGTTATTTTTTGATACTTTCCCTTCATTTGCCAAAAAATAAACCATTTGTACATCCACAAAACTGAATTTGAAGGAGATTCTCATCTTTAATTTAATTTAATTTTTATTTTTTTAAAGAGAGAGAGAGAGAGAGAGAATTTTTAATATTTATTTTTTAGTTCTGGGCGGACACAACATCTTTGTTGGTATGTGGTGCTGAGGATAGAACCTGGGCCGCACGCATGCCAGGCGAGCGCGCTACCGCTTGAGCCACATCCCCAGCCTCATCTTTAATTTTAAAATGCTTTGAAATCCTTTTGTAGTGCTGCACGTACAGAAAATACCATGCGCTCATTGTATGGAATAGGTATGGTTTATGTGTATGCATATGTATGTATTCAGCCTACCTTTTCTAAATGACATTTCTCATTAAGGAAATTGCTATCTGTTTGAATACAGTTCTGGCAGGATGGTGACAAGCCAGCCATCCCATCCGTGTGTAATTATATGTGCAGTTATGTGTGGTGTTGCTGATTTGGAGTGCTTGGATGTGATATGCATAAAGTCTTCGCAAGGCCATCAGAAATCCCAATCTTTATGTATCCTTTTCCCTTTGATTCGAATGAATAGCAATAGAAATAGTGGGTGGGGTGGTGGCAGAGATCCCTATACACATTCCTCCAGATATGGAAAATGAAAGAGCTACTCCAAAGCAAAGTTTCTTTTTACATTAAATCAACAAACCTTTACTGACTATTTGCTACATGCCAGATGTTCATCAAAATCAGCTCCTTCTTGCTAACAGTCTTGTTGTTCTCCTCCCTTCCCACAATCTCTGCAGACACAGTCTTTATTGTGTTAAGGTCTGGATCATTGCCTCATTAAGACTCCCTGCCCTGTGTACCCCCTTCCTTGAGGGACTTGCTAGGTGAAGCTTTATTGGTAATAATCTGCTTATCATCCAATAAATAAGCCCCAAGATGGACATTTTAGAGAAAAAAAGAAGAGATTATATTATGAATATTTCTTATTCATTATAACCTGTGAAAATTTTAATGACTAGGTATTTATTATTCTGTGTGTGCCTCAATTTCTTTTTTTTTTT